ACAAATTAAACAGGAAACCAACACATACACACGACTTTAGCAAGACTTGGACTACAGACACTGATGGAACATTACCAGAGTGATTTACCTCCAGGAGAGGGAAGTGACTTGAAAATAGGCCCAAGGGCCAGCTAGGTGGCGCAGTGAATAGAGTTCTGGCCTTGGAGTCAGGAGGACCTGAGTTCAAATCCAGCCTGAGACACTTAACAACTGTGTGACCCTGGGCAAGTCACTTAAACCTGATTGCTTCACCAAAAAAAAAAGAAAAGAAAAAGAAAAGAAAATAGGCTCAGCAGGAGCCCTGAAAATGCCCACTAGTGTATCTCTCTTCCAGTCTGTGCCTTGGTGCTTCACCATGGACCCTGAAACCTTTCAGAATATTTATTGTGTTGTGATAGACTTTTCTATATAGGAAGCTGGTGTGTTTACATTTCTCTCTTTATATTTTCTCATTCTGTCTGTAGTGTCCTCCCTTCTCCTATTGGAAGCCTAAAAATCTGTCAAATCCTGCTTTGAGTCCTGTGAAACTTTTCCCATTAACTAGCCATCCTTTACATTTCTTTACATCATTTACAGAAGAAAAAAATTTACTTTTCCCTTTTCTCTGTATTTAAATACTTAAAAACACACCCATTTTTAGCACTTCATACTACCTTGTATTGTTTGGTACTTTTATGTAAGTCTTCTCTTCCCTGGTTGGGTACTTCATTTGTACTCTGCATACTGCCAGGCACTCACAGAAACCTGACTTCTTCCAGAAGATACTGCATTGCAGGTCATCCTCTTCAGTACTAGATGCATCTTCTCTTGTGCCCCCTTAATACAACTAGGTTGGAAGAAGAGTCATATTTGCTACCTCTCACTGCCACTTCCAGACACACTCTTTGCTGCTATTATTGAGCAACCTTTCCTCTTTTCAGATTCACTCCCATCTGTATTATCCTATTCGTAGTGCTCAGATTATTCACCTTCCTTTCTCATCTTTGAGAGCACCTGGCTCATAGTGTTCCTTTTAACTTCAATCTCTGTCTTCATATTTGGGGATTTCAGTGTGTATGTTGATAATTCCTCTAGACATTGGCTTCCCAGTTACCAACTTCCTCAAGTCCCATAATCACCTTTCACTTTACTTCATCCATACATAGGGACAGTCATAACCTTGCTGTTGTCATCACAAGTAACTGTTTGACTTCCATGATTTCAGAAATCAGCAGTTTTCTTCTTGGACTTTTCCTAGACTGTCATCTATGTCCAGATTCCTTTTCCAATCTTGACTCTAGTTAATCAGTACATTGTTTTTTACCCTTGAATCCCTTTCACATTTGTCTTATTGAGCTTGTTTTAATAAACCCCAAACCTGGGTAACTCCTTATCTTCATCTGCCTTTTCTATTCCTACTCATGCTGCTGAATATTGTTGAAGGAAGTAGTACTACACTGACTCCTGGGCTGAAAATTTGTCTAATACCATTTCAGTCTTCATTGCTTCATAGCAATCCTTTTCTATTCTTCCCTGATTGATTCTCTACTGCCCTCCCCACCATTTCAGTTCCAGACCTTCTCTTATCTCCTCAAGCTACATAAACCACCTACTCCCTACTTTCTTTTGAACAGAGCTTGAAACATCTTATACTTTACTGAGAAAATAGAGGTCATCTGTTGGGCCTGCTCTTTCCTCCCCAGTTCTGTACCTTAAATCCTCTAAACTTAAATCCTTTTTTTTACTTCAGTCTCTGAGAAGGAGGTGGATTTCTCCTGGCCAAGGCCAACTCCTCTAGTTGTATCTTTAATCGCATTTTCTCTTCCCTCCTGGACCTTATCCTTTCAATCATCCTCCCTCTTTATTCTTCAATTTTTTCTTATCCACTGGCTCCTTCTTTACTACCTACAAACATGCCCATATTTCCTCACCCTTTAAAAAAAACTTTCATTTGATCATGCTATCCCCTTCAAACTTATACCTGTATTTCTTCTTTCTTTCACAGCTAAACACCTAGATGGATAAAGGTATATGTTGCCTCCAGTTCTTTACGTCTCACTTCCTTTTTAACCTTTTGCAGTCTGGTTTCCATCCCCACCATCTGACTGAAACTATACTTTCCAAGGCTTCCAGTGATCTTTTTACTAAATCCACTGACCTATTTTTCTAGTTTCCTTCCTTCTTGACCTCTCTGCAGTGTTCATTGACCATCCTTTTCTCCTGGACTCCTTCTCTTCACTGGATTTTTGTAACATATCTCTTGGTTCTTTTGCTCACTGTTTGACTACTTTTTTAATTTACTTTTTTATTAATTTATTTTGAGTTATCAGCAATCACTTCCATAAGCTTTTGAGTTTTAAATTTTTTCTCCCCCTCCTTTCCCACCTCCCTCCCCAAGACAGTGCGTAATCTGATATAGGCTATACGTGTACATTCCTGTTAAACATATTTTCACATTAGTGATGTAAGAATTAGAACTAATAGGACAAACTGCCAGAAAGAGGAAACAAAACACAACAGAAGAAAAAAAAAAGAGCAAATAGTATGCTTTGATTTGCATTCAAACTCCATAGTTCTTTCTCTGGATGTGGATAGCATTTTCCATTGTGAGGCCTTTGGAGATGTCTTAGATCCTTGTATCGCTGAGAAGGTTTTAAGTCTATCAACATTAGTCATCACACAACGTGGCTGTTACTGTGTACAATATTCTCCTGGTTCTGCTCACTGCACTCACCTGCTCATCATTTCTTATAGCACAATAGTATTCCGTTACGTTCATATACCACAACTTGTTCAGCCATTCCCCAATTGATGGGCATTCCCTCAATTTCCAATTCTTTGCCACCACTAAAAGAGCTGCTGTAAATATTTTTGTACATTTGGGTCCTTTTTCCCATTTTTATGATCTCTTTTGGATACAGCCCTAGAAGTGCTATTGCTGTTTGACTACTCTTTAATAGTCTTGTTTGCTGGATCATCATCTATGTCAGAATCGTAGTTTTTGAGAGTTATAAGGGACCTCAGCAGCCATAGTCCAACTAATATGGGAAACCTAACTTGAGCAATCCAGCCACTGCTTGAAGACCCCTCCAGAAAGGTCTTTACCACCTGCCTCAAGCAGCCTATTCAACTTTTAGATAGTTTTCTAATTGCTTGGAAGTTTTCCCTGACATCTGTTCTAAATTTTTCTCATCGCAACTTTCACCCAACTGTCCTACCCACTGTTTGTAGATGTTCTTCATCACTCTAACTCAGTTCTGGTGCTGTCACTTAAAAGTGTCCTTAATTGATTCCCCAACTTGTTAGTGCTCTCCTGTCCACCCTTCCCACAATTACTTTGCATTTAATTTTTGTTTATTTTGTATTTATGTATGTATTCCACCAGTAAAATGTAAGCTCTTTGAGAGTAGGAACTGGTTTATTTTCTGTCTTTATTTCCCCATTACATTTTTGGTTAACAAATATTACTGTTGTCATTTTCAGGGGGTTGTTTTGGTAAACAATTATGCCATTTTCTCTCTCTCTCTTTTTTTTTTTTTGCATGTGATTTTTCCTGTTGATATCAAGAATCTTACCTCCTTTATGTCAAAGGTAGCTTAGAAGCAGGATGATGGAGGATGGCTTACAGATTTAGACTGAGACAGTAATAAACTATTTATAAGTACATTCTTGGTTCTAGAGTTGTAACTGCCCACTAATATCTGTAAGCACAGTAGGACTTAAGAAATTGACAGCCACAAACTGTCATTCCATTTGAAGAGCTATTATCGAGATTGTTAGGAAGCATAACTTCTTTCTCACTCACTCCATGGTATTGTTAAAGCCAACCCCCAGACTTTCTAGTGTGCAGATGATCAGTTAGTTACCTCCTGTCAACTGACTCAAGCCATCATGACGTTGAATTGTCTGGGACAAACTGGTGGGCTTTCTGGGAAAGTTATCTGTGAGGCATCTGGCTTCTGTGCAAAGGTATTTACAGACCTTAGGAAGCTTAGTGCTTTATTGTAAAGCAAGTAAGTTGAAATCATCTTCCTGGAATCTGTAGTCATCTAGGCCTTGGGATGTTTCAGTATCCTTCCCCCTGCTTTCCTTTTGTGATGAAGAAGGTCAGTGCTGGTGCAGCAATCATGAAACAGAATGGGTCCCACCTGTGTGGGGCTCTTGTTCCTCTCCCAAGACTCTACTTATCTTATAAGGATCTGAGCAGGGTTCCTGCTGTGTGGCTTCATGGGCAAAACTAGTTACTGCCACTCCTACTCTCAGGTTCCTGAGGAGAGTTCTGTTAGGGGTATGGAATGGTGTGGTCAGAATCAGAGTCTGCCAGAGACCAAGAGGTGACTCATCACACTGCAATTGAGCCTGAAATGTTATTTCTAATGGGGAAGAGGCAATTCCTGTAATCCACTGTTGAGTTGCTTTCCTCCTCAATCCTAGATGCTACTGAATTTTCTCTTAAAATTTAACTTTTAAAGAAATAATTAGGTTCTTTGCCTGTTGCCCTTTTGCATGCTGTCAGTCATACCAGTCTGTAGCCTGGGTCATAAGCTGTTTTGGTTTTTGATATCTCTAATGACTTGCCAACTCCTTTGCTTTAGGCGTCTTTCGGTGTGTAAATTGGGTAGGTTTTCTGAAAGATGAATTTCAGGTTGTTAGGGAGTGGTGTTAAAAATATTTAGTGTCTTCTGTGGGTTCTGAATTTGTTCCTGGGGCTTTATAAGCAGGTGTGTGAATGAGGGTATGTTGCACTTTGTATGATAGAACTTTTTGGTTGAGGTAAAATTGAACACTCAGTGATAAAAACCACAGTCCATTTTCTTGTGCTTAGTTGATTTAGTGCCCCTTCCCATCTTCCCTTCCTTATTTGTATCTCCTTTTTTTCAGTCTCTCGTTTGCCCAATTTCCCAGTGGCTCCAGTGCTAGCCAAGAAAAACTTCTTGAAATGCTGCCCTTGATCATCTCTGGAGAGGCTTTTGAGGGAATATGTGGTGGAATGTAACAACATTGTTTCTTTATTTACTTAGATCACCATGGCTCCTCTTGGCTCCCTTGTTGTCCCCACCTGTTCCTCAGGTCACCTCCCCTCCTTGCTGCCTGTGTCCAGAGGGGGTCCACAGGTTTCAATGGATAAGAAACTTGGTTCCAGAATTTGGTGTTTCTAGCTCTCACGTTAAGGTGTTATCTTCTCCAGCAGAGTTTTTTGAGCTCATGAAGGTGAGTTTTGTCTGGGGTGGGTTTTGTCTGACCATACCATCAGACTGGGAAAACAAGACTATATAGATTGTAGACACCCAACTCCTTTCTGTGCCAAGAGCTTGTGATTTCTTTTTTCAAAGTTTTTTCTTTTGAGTTTTACTTTTAGGAATATTAAAAAGTATATTCAGCTTTGGACCCAAATGCCTCCTTTATTTCTCCTTTTGTTTTCATGTGGGCATAATTTGAATTATATGCCAGGAGGATCAAGGAACATTATGGTCATTTTAAATTAATCTCTGTAGATTCTTTATTACAAACCTTTACCATGGTCACGTAGTAAATATTAATTGATGGTGATAAAGGGAATTTTGGTTTGCATTGTAGTCTGAGATTGCTTAGGCCAGAAATGAGAAAAAGCTGTAAGTGCAGGGATTGTGTTTATATTCAGTGTTTTGTCTTGTTTTATTTTTAAAGGGACAGATAAAGACAGCCAAAAGGCGAGTAGTGATGGCCTCTCTGTATCTTGGGACAGGTCCTTTGGAACAGGAACTGGTAAGTGTTTTGGGAAAGCAGTCCTGCATCAAAATGCATCCATTTTCTTAAACCCTATGGCTTTGTTTCTCTCTGTGTTAGAGTTAATAATTAGAAACTCACGCAGTTGACTCAAGGCCCTGTTATCCCAGATGTCATAAGAGTTAGTATAAAGTTTATGTTCTAGTCAAAAGACAAAGTTGCTATGACCTGAACTCCCATCTACTTTGTACCTCAAGGTACAAAGGTAACAGTTAGATGGAGGTGTGACTGGTGATGATGGAGGAATGGATGAGAAGTAGTCTTATATCTCCTATCCTTTCATTTTTCCTAGCTATACCATTTACTAGAATTTACTAGAAGCCTTTCCCAATGGCTTCCATATGCTAGATAAGTGTTAACAGAAATACAGATCAGATCTGATTGGCTTGATTTCTTGATAGTATGAATTAGATGTAGTATGATTTATATATAACTTTTTTAAAACAGCCAATAATATCTTTTTTGGTGAGGCAGTTGGGGTTAAGTGACTTGCCTAGAGTTACACAGCTAGTGTCAAGTGTCTGAGGCCGGATTTGAACTTAGCTCCTCCTGACTCCAGGGCCGGTGCTCTATCCTCTAAGCCATCTAGCTGCCCCAATAATATCTTTCTGTAATGTCATTCTTGTCATCTGTGATGAATATTAACATGGGGAAATTGAGATGATTAGTTGTATAGAATGTAAATACCTCCCTCTATGCAGATTGAGTCTATAACTTTTATCATGAACCTAAAATGAATGAGACCATCTTTTAGATTTGTCTCTCTGGGTTTGTTTTGTGACTTGGAGTATTGAAATAGGCACTTTTTCTTATAGTAGATTTTTATTTTAATTTGCTTTTATTTAGATACTTATAGGCCAGGTAGACTCTAACCCTAGTGGAAAATGGGGGAGAGGTTTAAATGTGAAAAGGCAAATTAGCCTAAGTGCTTCTGTTTTCCTGCTTCACTCTTGTGTATGGAGCCCCGTTTTTTGAGAAGCACTGCAGGAAGTTGAAAGTTTGGAAACCACTTAACTCCAATTACCTCACCAAAAAAGCAAAAAAAAAAATAGTATTTAGGTCCTTTACTTATATTTTCTTTGGGTCTTTTCTCTCAACAGGTGGATTGTATAGAAAGTAGTCTAGAAAGGTCACTACAAGCAAATTTTTCTTCAGACCTCAAAGTTTCCATTCTTTTAGATTTTACCCGGGGATCAAGAGGTAGGTGTTGCTCCCCTTTTCTCCTCTGAATTTTTCCTTAAAAAAATCCCACTGTTTTCTTTTCACTCTCCTTGGAAAGAGGTACAGCTATCACATACTAAGAGGACTCAAACAATCTCATCTCTTCTGTTTCTGGTGGATGTTGTAATATGTGGTTGGGGAGGATTCCCTGGATAGAATTAGCACCAGTTGGTTTGAGAAGCTGAGGCAAACAACTTGGGTGATGTTAAGATTGCTAGTTAGATCCTGACCAGTAGCTTTATGGGGATCTGGAATCACTGTGACCCCCTCCAAGTTACTGTTCTTTATGATTTTGTCCTCATTTCTAGGTAGGAAGAACTCCCGCACAATGCTGCTCCCATTACTGCAGAAGTTTCCTGATCAGGTCCGTGTCTCCCTCTTCCACACTCCAAACCTTCGTGGGCTCCTCCGGCTCCTTATTCCTGAACGCTTCAATGAAACCATTGGCCTTCAGCACATCAAAGTTTATCTTTTTGACAACAATGTGATCTTGAGTGGGTGAGTTAGCTTCTGTCTATCATCTCATCAGAGCCATGGTTTTTTTCAGGATTACTTTGGAGGAAATGATGGGGCTTTGGGAAGATAAAGGAAAAGAGATATCTTTAATTTCCCTGAAATTTAGAAAACCTCTTTCCTCACTTTCCCTCATGTTCTACCTTTTAGATGTCTTCCTTAGCATTGGCCCCCTTTGGCAGCTCATGGGGTCTTCTCTGTGATGTAGGAAATGTTTTTTCTGTTACTGGGGGATGTAACTATGAAGGGAAATCTCTTCATGGTCTCTGCTGTCACAGTCCTAAAAAAATACCAGGACTATGCTCATACCATTCCTTCCACTGGGAATACCTAAGAGGAGTCCAGTACTCCTCTTGTCCTATTCAGTCATTAAAGTTCAGTTTAAGCTCTGCCTCTTCCATGTGACCTCTCTGTAACAGTGATCTATCCCTTCTTTATAGAAGTGTAATTTAGTGCTTCTCTGTTTTGTCCCCTTTTCATGTGTTTATATTTTATCTTTTCAACAAGATAGTAAGCCCTTTAAGGCAAAGGTTGTTTTATTAATTTCTCCTTCATTGCCTATGTAGGAGCCATTCAGATATTTTAGTGATTGGAGTATCTGGAGTTGAGTCAGCCAACTTTTTTCTGTTTGGCCTGAAGGCTAGGCTAGATCATTAGGAAGATACCCTTTCTGTATGAATCAGTCAGTGAACAAGAATCATTAAATGCAATTATATGTCAGGTTCCTTCCCTCTTGTTGTCGAGGTCTATCGATCTTACCTTCGTAACATCTCTCAAAATGTCTCCTTCTGTTTTCTGACACTGCTACAACCCTGGTGTAAGCACTCATCAACTCTGCCTGGACCATTGCAAATAGCTTGCTAGTTGTCTGACCATAAGTCTCTCTCCTCTCTATTCTATCCTCCACTCAGCTGTCAAAAGTGTCTAAAGGGCAATTCTGACCATGTCACCCCCATTTCCTACTCCATAAACTCCAGTCGTTCCCAATCAACTCCAGGACCAAATAGAAAAGCTTCTATTTGTCATTCAAAGCCCTTCATAACCTTCTCTCCCCCTGCCCCCCCATGTCTTTTCTGTCTTACACTTTATCCATCCCAACTCCACCTCCTCTTTTACTCCAGTGACATTGGCAGTCAACATCAATTATTCCTCAAACGACACTCCATCTCCCCATTATGGGCATTTTCATTGGCTGCCCCTCGTGCCTGCAGTCCTTTCACTCCTCATTTCTACCTCCCGTCTTCCTTAAATTCACAGCTAAAAATCCTACCTGTTACAGGAAACCTTTCTTGATATCCCTTAATTTCTACAGCTTCCTCTCTCTTGCTCCAGTATATCCTGTATATGGCTTATTTGTTCATAGTCATTTGGATTCTGTCTTCCACATTAGACTGAGTTGCTTGAGAGCAGGGACTGTCTTTCACCTTTCTTTGTATCCCTAGCATCTAACTCAATGCTTGGCCCATAGTAGGAACTAAATAAATGTTGATTGGCTGACTGACTGGAAATACCGAGATAAAATAGTCTTGGACTCAAGGAGCCTACATTCTGTTGGGAGAGACTGCCAGTCCAAACAAAATTACATATGTTATAAATATAAGGTAACTTTTGGTGTTAAGCACTAGCAGGTAGGGGAAGGGAATCAGAAAATTAGGGAGCACATGAGCTGATCTTTGGAGGAAAGTAGTGATCCTAAGAAGTGGAAGTGAGAAGTGGGGCACCTTCACCTTAGCACAGAGTTGGGAGAGGTGATACTGTATGTGAAGAATAGCAAGTTGATCAGTTTGGTCAGACCAGGCCCACACAACTGCTGGCTTGAGGGCCACTTAGGGCACACCAAAAGATTTTGGGCAGCCCTCGAAAAATGTAGAGGAAAACATCCTTTGGCATGCTGCAAGCAGCCTGTAAGCCGCCTGAAGGCCGCAGGTTGTGCGGGCCTGGCTTAGACTATCTATAGAGTGTGTGATGGGAAGTAAAATATTGTATGTACTGGAAAGCTAGAGTGGAGCCAGGTGGCTAAGGGCTTTAAATGCCATAAGAGTTTGCATTTGATCCTTGGGGCAAAGGGGAGCCAAGGGAGTGACATGGTCAGACTTCAGGAAAATCACATTAACAGGTGTGTGGAAGATGGATTGAAGTGGAAGATACAAGTCAGGGAGACCAGTTGGGAGGCTATTTTGATTCTTTAGGCAAGAGATGATGAGGGTCTAAAGGAGATTGGTATGTGTGGAGAAAAGAAAACAGATATAAGAAAGGTTGATTCTATCTCCACAATAAGACTTGGCAATAAGTAGATGTGAGGGAGAGTGTAGAGTCAAGTATGATTCCAAGGCTGTAAACCTGGATGATTAGAAAAAAGGTAGTGATGCCCTTGACAGAAATAGGCTCTTTACCCTCTGTTTCCCTCCCTCTAGTGCAAACCTGAGTGACTCCTACTTCACCAATCGCCAGGACCGATATGTGTTTCTGCAGGACTGCCCAGAGATTGCTGACTTCTTCACAGAGCTTGTGAATGCAGTAGGGGATGTGTCCTTACAGCTTCAGGGTGATGACACTGTACAGATGGTGGAAGGGATGGTACATCCTTACAAAGGTAGGGGGATTGTGCTGTATAACTTTGCTGAGGTTTTGGTTGGGCAGGGATGAGAAGCAAGAGAGTGAGTTCCCTGCCTGTTTGTAGTGTGTTGCCAGCATATACTTTGATTCTTAGCTTCTTGAGTTGAGAATGCTATTCATGTCTAGGGGATTCAGAGACACACTTCAATCAAAATTTTCTGCTGCAATCGCAGTCTTGACAAAAATAAAATCCTTAGTGTGACTTTGAGTTGAGTGATTTTGTTCTTGTTGCTTTGGAAGGTGGCAGTGAATAAGTTATTTTATTTACACATGTCCTTGATATTTGATATTGCCAGTGGGTGAGATAGTTGGGAATGCAGAGCCAACAAGCTTAATAGCATGTTAACACTTATTATTAGTATACATAAGGCCACGGGAGAAGAGAACCTACTTGGTCTTAGGGTGACTAAGCTTTCATGTAGAATTTAGTGCTGTTATAGCTCCCCATACCAGTTTGGTCTCTGCCCTTGTCAGTTTATCAGGCTGATGAGACGATTGAGACACATAGGGAAGAGGAAGGATGCATTCTTGAGTGTTTACAGACCTACCCTTCCTTCCCTTCATCCTTTTGGTGCTGCTGTTGACTTGATGCTATTATTTCAGCTTCCTCCACTGGTGGGATGTGCTTGGTTTGGATCACTGCATGAACTGAGCTGGTTTGGTAGTAATTAAAATGGAAGTTAGCACCCCGTCTTCCTGAAAGATGAAATTATGGTAGTCTCTCTTTCCTGACCCTTTGAGTATTACTGGGAAATAAGATGAGGGGAACTATTGGGATTGGTGAATTGGACTAATTCTGTGACTTATTTGCTTTAGACCAGCTGATCTTCATAGTGTCCACTTCTGTGATGCTGGACTTTGAAAATCAAGATAGCTCCGCTGTAGGCCTAGGAATGGGCAGTGGTTGTCTTGCCTCTTCATTCAGCTTTCTGCAGGAAAGAGGTCCAGGGCTTTGAATGAAGGAAACTTCAGTCACCAGAGCCTAGCCAAAGGAGACTCTGTGGTAAAGATCTGGCACCAGGAAGGGTGGGAACAGTATGGGTTCTTTGCTATGTGCTTAGGGCAGTGAGCCAAGAGCCTGCCCAGCACTTATAGGAAACTGCTCTGGTAAATGACTATTTGTGGTGCATTGACTGGACTGCTCAGGAGCATTTCCCTCCCAAACCACTGGCATACAGGGACTTCTGCAGCTCCTACCTACACATGAGTCTGTAGCCTCCTGCCTAGATAGTGAAATGGAAGAGCCCTTGACTCTACTCTTTGCATGCAGGAAATCTTGGTGGTGGTTTACAGTTCCCTTGGGGCCCAGGGGATTTTTGCATTCTTTCAATTCCTGTGGCTTTAGCTGATTGTCTTTAAGAAGATTTGTGGTTGAAATCACAAGTAATCATCTTGGTGAGGGTATCATGGGGCATTTGTGGAATGGCAAAAGAAGACTGAGAGGTTCCCATTCTCCATATAGACACATATGATATCTGTGTCTTCAAAACCATCCTCAGCTCACTTTTCTTTTAAAGCTCACTCTAGCTACTTTGTGCCACCACCTCAAGTATTCCTGTCAGGCAGCCTTTCCCTTCCCTTCCTTTCCTATAGATTCAAAGCTTCATTAAGAATCAAAGATCAGAATCATTGTGAGGAGTGGAAATGTTTCTGTGGGGTAAGTTCTAGAGCAGCAGTTCTTCATCTTTTTGTGCCGTGGACCCCTGGCACAAAAGTCTGGTGAAACCTGTGGACCTCATGTTTTTAAATATGTTAGAATAAAGGAAAGAAAATGCTAAATTTCAGTTAGATGTCAATGATAGTAAAAGCATCTTTTTTTCCCCATCCAATTTTATAGATCTCTGAAATCTCCCTAAGTACCCCCCTTTTTGTGGGGGGGGTATCCGTGGAACCCAGATTAAGAACCCTTATTCTAGAGTATGAGACCATATGCTTGTTTTTAAATCTCCAGAGATTGTTATGAGGAAAGTATTTTGGTTTAGTGTTTGTATTCACAGTGCCTGGCACTTAATAAATTTGTGTTGAATGGAAGAAAAAAATCAGTGGTGGCAGTAGTCTAGGCCCCTCATCTTTCTTCACTTAAGACTTTATCCAGGTGGGGCCCAGGTTGGCTCTGTTTCATCATCTGGAAAGATAGTTGGGTTGTTTGTTGCATTTTCTGCTTCTCATCCCTGATGGCAGCCAGCCCCCTGAGATTGTGCGACTGCCTTACCTCTTCTACAAGATGAAAAACTCCTTGAGGAAAGGGATTATGTTTTATTATTTGTAAAGATGTAGAAGGGGATTTAGGTCTCTGCTTAGAATTTGGCTTTAGAATTGTCTCGTCCCATTCCTTTTTCTTGTGTTTCAACAGGGTATAACTGTTTAAGCAAACCTGAGACAGTCCACATGTCTCTTTGCTCATAATCTAACTTTCACAGGACAGACTTGAACATGTGTAGAGAGAAGGAGAAAGCGTTTGGATAAAGAGAGATGTCAATACTGTCTTCTCGTCAGGAGTGGGTAGTAGTGAGGTTGTGCTCAGGAGACCCAAGATGGCTGAGATGAAGCTCTGTTGAAGAAGAGAGCCAGAAGGAGGGATTTTAGAGAGGATATTCAGGGAAGAGATGAGTTACTTATTCACTTTGCCCTGGGAATGTGTGTGGCCACTTAGCTCATGTGGTACTTGGTAGTAGTTGTCATCCTCTTCACCATCTTCATCATCATCATCATCACAATAACAGCATGGCAAAACTGATAGGAAGACCCTTTCTGACAATACTGCTTGTGGGAAAAATGGCAAGTCAACCCTTTAGGACTATAAAAAGTTACAGATCAATCGCTAATCTGCCTTTGTAGGGCCATTCCTAAACAATGAAATCATAGGTCTAATAAAAAGAAACAAAAAGTTTTTTAGCTGACATATAGCACTTAAGGTTTACAAAAAACATTTTATATATAGTCTCCTCATTTGAGCCACACAACAACTTTTTAAGGTAAGTAGACTATAATACATGATAGAACGTGGTGTTAATGAGGTAGGCCAAGGTCATAGTTTGTATTCCTATATAGATGAGTTATTTTTAATCTTTCCCCAACTGGTCAACACAGATTAACACCCCTGGTTTCAACAGAGAACAGTTAAGAGAATTTGCAGAACCTACCACTTTGTATACAAAAGGTTGTATGTTTGTTATTAGTGCCTGTGTCTTGACATCATAGAACCGTGGCTTTGAGTCTCATCTGTTTCTTTTCCTTCTTCACCGATCTCCCCATGTCCCTTTCCAGGAGATCAGACCGCATATTGTGAGGCAGCCAACAAGAGAGTCATGGATGTGATCAACACAGCTCGGACCCGACAGCAGCTGCTCCATGCCCAGACTTTTCACAGTGACTCTCTTTTGACCCAGGAAGATGCAGCAGCAGCTGGTGACCGGAGGCCAGCTCCTGATACCTGGATTTATCCGTTGATCCAGATGAAGCCTTTTGAGATTAAAATTGATGAGATTGTTACAGAGACACTGCTGACAGAGGCAGAGAGGGATGCTAAGATCTACCTTACTACTGGTTATTTCAACCTAACCCAGGCCTACATGGATCTGGTCCTGGGCACTCGGGCAGAGTACCACATTCTTTTGGCTTCACCTGAAGTGAATGGCTTCTTTGGGGCCAAGGGGGTGGCGGGTGCCATCCCTGCTGCTTATGTCCATATAGAGAGACAGTTCTACAGTGAAGTCTGTAGCCTAGGGCAGCAGGAACGAGTGCAGCTACAGGAATACTGGCGGAGTGGTTGGACCTTTCATGCCAAAGGTAAGAGGGTTATCCAGCATGAAATGAAGTCCCTCACACTTAGGGAAATTTGATAGGAAAAATTAGGTGTAGTAAGAGTGTGGGTAAGGATCTCCTCCCTATCTCCATAGTTCAATTCCAAGGTCCTACCTGGCTAAGTACTTAAGTATCTTAACTTAATTATTATCTCTGTTTAAGTATGAACACTTACTTTTAAAGCACTTTTAACATTTATCCCATTTTATGTTTCAAAGCACCTTGGAAAGTACATTGACACTTTTGTCTGGCATTGTGGGGAAAGGAGCTGTTTTATATAAATGAAGTTTCTAGTCAATTGAAACTTAAAGTTCAAAACTATTTAAAAAAAATCTTAAATCACTTTTCATGGGACTCTTTATAAAATACATTACATAGTAACCAGCCATCATAAACAGAATATATGGAATATAATCTGTAACTTCTTTTTGGTGACTCATGATTTTGAACCTTAGTTAGAGGACTGTGCGATAGGCCTCTCAAAGTGTGAGTAGTCATTTATCCCTTCAGAATTCCAGAGTTCTGTACTTTTTTGAGTTCCTAGATCTGCTTTAAAAAAAAAAAAAGATTTTCATCTATTTTTACATTGCGTAGATTTCCCCTGGCAACCCTTTCCTTTCTGCTCCCAGAGAGTAAACTCTTAATAAGCAATTAAAAAGAGGAAGAGAGAAAGAAAATTCAGCAAAAGTAATCAACATAATGAAAACTAAAGTTAGAGGCATTATTCCACACCTCTGGCCTGACTCTAAAAAAGGAGCAGGAGTCCTGTTTTCTCATCCTTTTGTTGGAGCTAAGATTGTTCTTGGTAATTTTTGTAACATTCAGTTTTGGCTATTTTTGTGGTTCTTTCATCTTACATTGTTGTACTCATTGTTATATTGTTTTTCTGGTTCTGCTTACTTTACTGTGCATCAGTCTAAGTCTTAAAATGCTTCTCTATTTTCATCATGCTCATTGTTTCTCATAGTACAATAATATTCCATTACATTCATGTACCACAATTTGTTAAACCATACTAATTGATGGGCATTTACTTGATGTGCTATTACAAATATTTTGGTGTGTAAGGAGCCTTTCTTTTTTTTCATTGATATCCTTGTAATATATTCCTAATAGTGGAATCTTTGTATCAAAGGGCATGGACATTTTAGTGACTTTGCATGATTCCGGATTGTTTCCTGGAATGGTTGGACCAGTGCACAGCCCCACCAGCAGTGTATACATTATTAATATGTGTGTCTCTCCACCACCTTCAGTGTTGACTATTCCCATCTTTTATTACCATTGCTGGTTTTCTGGGTATGAAGTTAAACCTCAGAGTTGTTTTGATTTGTTTTTTTACTATATTATTAGTGATCTGGAACATTTTCATATGTTTATTATTAGCAAGTAATTCTTATTTTGAGAACTATTTGCTCATATTCTTTGACCACTTCTTTATTGAGAATGGCTTTTGACCTTAGGTATTTCTGGTATTTTTTTTTTTTTAGGTTAGGCAGTGGGGTTAAGTGACTTGCCCAAGGTCACATAGCAAGTGTTATGTGTCTGAGGCCTGTTGAACTCAGGTCCTCCTGACTCCAGGGCCAGTGCTCTATCCACTGCGCCACCTAGCTCCCCCTATTTCTGGTATTTTTGTACATATCTTCTAAAGAAAACCTGTATCAGAATTTGATACAAAGTTTTTTCCCAGTGGACCACTTCCCTTGTTCTAGATACATTAATTTTGTTTGTGCAAAGGCTTTTCAGTTTCATGTAATCAGAATCACTTATTTTATCTTTTGTGATTGCCTACATTGTTTATATATCCGCTTTTAAAACATTTTTCTTTTTTTCTCTCAATGCTTGCTGTTACTTCTTGCTGCTCATTCCTCCTTGCTTCTCATTGGCTGCTGCTTATCTCATTGGAATGAGAGGGAGCATGATTTAGTAGAAAGCGCACTGAATTTAGAGACTTTTGGTTTGTGTTTTGCCTATAGTCTTACTAGTTGCTTAGCCAAAGGCAAGTTACTTGGCCTCTCTGACTTGTCTTTCTTCTTCTGTGAAATGGGAATAAACCTGCACAGGAAATAATTCAATTGTACAACTACAGGAATGTTGCGAGGATCAAATGAGATAATTTAGGTAAAGTCCTTTGCAAATATTAAAACATTGTATAAATATCAGCCATTTTTATTGCTAACGAAGTAAAAGAGTGAGTGAAGGTTTCAGGGGTTTACTTATGAGTAAAGTGCATAGACTTTGTATCATCTATTTTGAGCTCTTGGAGGCATTTTCTTTTGGCTTTCTGGTTCTTGCAAGGTAGTTGTGTGTGGCAAGGACAGCTGGCAGCTGGCTTCTGGATAAGTGAAGTATATTATACACCTCTGTATCTTATATGAAAAATGAATATGCAATCAAGATCATGCAAGCATGATGGCAAGACTGGAGGTTAGGTCTTTTAATTTTTAGCCCTAGTTTTTCTCTTAACCATTCCTATTGAAGGGAAATGCTTCTCATGCAATTAATTTCCAAGATTATGCTGGTTCCTGTAGGCCCTTTTAATTGCCTATGGCCCAGAACTTGAGAGAGCATCCCAGGTATTCCTTGGTGAGTGACCAGGCCTGGTCTAGTGACTAGTGGCACTTGGTTTTCTCAGGAAAGGTGGGATCCTCCAGGGAGATGTTTGTTAGTCTGTGTGTAAAAGAAAGTTTAGGTTTGGTGTGGTGATTGCTGAGAACAGAAAAAAGAAAGAAGCAGAGGAAAGTGAGTAAATTTTAGTACCCATTATATATCCACAACTGCTACTAGAGCCACTGTGTGCACAGACAGGCATGTTAGCTCCATTAACACATGTAGAGCACTCTTTTGGTACATCTGGTGCTACTTTGGGCCAGCTTTTTTCCTTCTAGCTTACCTAGGCCTAGCCAGCATGTTGGGAGGTTCCCTATCTGTCAACTTTTGACTGTGCTGGTGGATAGTTTCCCTGAAACTTGTCTGATAAACGTTCAGTGACTCTCCATTTCCAGTTGGAATAGAAACACTTGACTGGCTTTTCCAGTGTCTCACCTTTTCCCGGACTAATGTGCTCCTGCCACTCCCTCTCCCCCACAGGAGGTGGGGCCCCTAGGCCTGAGAAGACTTGGATGTTTCTACATCTGAGTTGGGGGGTGCAGATAGAGAGGAGGAGAAAAAGACAGAGGACACAGCTGTGAATTCTGCTCCCAATCTGAAGGGCTTTGTGAGTATAACTGAACCTCACCGTGGAACTTAGAGACTGAGTTAGGGGTGGAGATTTGTTGCAGACAAAGCCATTTCCTGATGAGCATTGTGATTGGTCAGTAAAATGTATCAAGAATCTCTCTTTTCTGGTCTTTCTCTAGGTCCCTGACTATAGCCAGTTTGAGATAACAGCTCAACTCAACCCCTAACACCTTTACCCCCCCATTATAGGATAGGTTGATGAATGAATTTTATTTCATTTGGTGAACAAGCAGCCTTGTGTTTAACTGTTTTATGGAATAGAAAGGAATGTGTATGTTCTTGAACAGCTATTTATCTCAGTGATTCCCTTGTCCATACCATTGCTTGGGGAACCAAGCCTTGCAGGACAAACCCAGCACAAACCTTGTTGTTCCCTCTTAGAAGGTCATTGAAACCCCTGGGGCAGAAAGAGTGAGCAGGACGTAATTGTGTTCCTGTCCCCTCTATTTAGATGAGCTTGTAATTAAAAAGTAAAAGAGTGAGTGAAGGTTTCAGGGGTTTACTTATGAGTAAAGTGCATAGACTTTGTATCATCTATTTTGAGCTCTTGGAGGCATTTTCTTTTGGCTTTCTGGTTCTTGCAAGGTAGTTGTGTGTGGCAAGGACAGCTGGCAGCTGGCTTCTGGATAAGTGAAGTATATTATACATCTCTGTATCTTATATGAAAAATGAATATGCAATCATTGCAAACCCCTGGGGAAGAAAGAGTGAGCAGGACGTAATTGTGTTCCTGTCCCCTCTATTTAGATGAGCTTGTAATTAATATCCTTCCAGACTCTGATATTTTTCTACCCTCAACCCCTCTTTCTTCCCACAGCCTCCCCCCCAACCCTAGTGAACATACATTTGAAAAAACGCCTTGTCCTCTCTATTAAATGTAATAAATGATATTAAAAGGAAACAGAAGACAGTTCCTGACCATGAGAGAATTTACCATCTAGTTGGATACCAAAACATACTGAGATGACTTAACTTTTACAAGAGTTCATAGCAATAAATGAAAAGTTATAGATAAGATTATGATGAAATCCAAATTCAAATTGATTTGGTCAAATGAAATAATATACATGAAAGTGCTTTGAAGAATATGGTATGCTGTAAAATTCAAGAGCAGTCCTCACATTAAATTGTGAATGATATTTCACCTTTATGGCACCTTAAAGTGATGGTTTGGAGCAACAGGGATTTTTCCTTCATTTTACGGATGTGAAAATGGAAGCACAGAGAAAGGAAGTGACTTGTTCCAGGTCATCAAATTAGCAGTAGAACAGGGGATTGTACCGAACTCTGGTCTCTTATTTCAGTACTTTCCTCCCCAGATGTTTCTGTTGCTGGTCTTCAGGATGTTTCGAGATCAGAAAAGGTAACTGTGACGTATGAGGTCTTTCCCTGTGTATTCCTGGCTTCCAGTAGAGGGTCTAATCTTAGGAGGGATTTTGAGAAGCAGCAAGGGGGGGAGGGAGGAGGATAGAAGTTGAACTTCTGTTAGGCAACTAGCAGCTCTGATTCACAGCTTGTCAGTTTCCTGTTGCATACTTATACATTTTTTCCTGGAGAACATGCCAGGACAGAGTAAGGGTCCCCAGCTGTGATGGAAGCAGATTCAGCTATGAAGGGAAAAAAGATTTGGTGGAGATCCACCAACTCCTGACCTTCAGCGGAAAAAGCATGTTAGAACATCACTGACAGAATAGATCAATTAGCAATAGCCAACATTTATTGGTTCCCACTGAACTAGACATGAG